CTTAATTTCACAACTGCTCCACTGCTAAGTTTACATGACGTGGCTAATCAGAGGCAGCTAGCTGAGCATATGATCAAGTTGCTGAGAGCAGAGCAGAGATATCCGGCTGTGGTTTTCAAAGTTAAATGCTGCTATTGCCATGATGAGATAAATCGGGGCAGTTTGTTTTTGTTTTGTTTTTTGTTGTTTTGTTTTGTTGTTTTGTTTTTTTTTTTTGGGGGGGGGGGGGGGGTTGGATGGCAGTGATCTCGTTAATTTTCAAAGTTGCATTGAAGTCGTGTTGCTGGTCTGAGAAAATCAAAACTATGACGTTTTAAGGTAACATTTTGACAGCATGTAAGCTCTTTTTGTATAGGGATATACACAAACAAACTTTACTGCTTACATGAGCATGAGTTGTGTTTTAGTTTGAACAAACAAAAAAACAAAATATTAAGATTTGGTAATATGTGAAAGAATAAGAGAAGGGAAAATATATTTTACCTTATCCTGGTTTACCCTATTAATGTTAAAGGAGGCCAGCAAATAATAACAAACAAAACAAACAATTAAAGGGAAATTAGAAAAGGTAAAATAGATTAGATGATTGATAATATTTATCAGAAAAGCTGATGTTAAATTCCAAATTGGGGAATATTTTTTATTTTATTTTATGTATTTATTTTTGAAGGATTGTAGTTTGAGGGATTATAGATTATGGTAAATCCATTCAGATGCTTGTTACGGACAAAAGCATTTATAATGTGACAGACATTCGATTGGTTATTAGATAAGATCTTCAGTACTAATTAGATCATTGGCATTGTTATTTTTTTCAAATCAATATCCATAGATTTTTTTTTAGTTCGTTTTTTTGAATGCTAATTTTAAAACTTTCTGCTTTGTCTGGCCACCTCTGTCTGTCTACAGTCATCAGTCCATAGTGCACCAATAGTACTGACAAGAGTCATAGCCTACGTAAAAGTACCTAAAAGAATTAAACATATGTAAAATTTTGAGTTTGTGCTTTTCTAAAATTTGATGTCGAGATTGTAATTCCTGCTGAAAATACATAATGTTGCCAAATATCAGTTGTCCCCGTGATTACTAATAATCAGTATCAATATCTCTGCCAAAAAATATGTAAACTGATTTTGTAGAAACATTACAAACACTTCCAATTAGTTTGTTTAAATTACTCTGGGTTTTTGACATTCTTCTTATAATTATTACACAAGTACTAATAAGTCTTTGGTCATTATACAAATCAGGATACTGATACTTGACACCAACGTGACAATAGATGCAGCCAACAGTGGTGCAGGCTTGTATTTTAACAAATTGTGGGCCTGTAAATGTACTTTCTTTGTTTTTTTTTGTTCATTATTGGTTTGGGACGGTGATTTATATCACGCTCTTAATCTGAAGGAAAAAAATGCTAAAAACCGGATACATTTTACAATCTAACACCGGTAACTTTATTATTGCTTTGCATGTATATAGTACTTCCTGTCAAATTTGCAAAAGCGCCAACTTGACCATTCAGAGGCAGCCAGCAGGAGAAGGAGGAGTGGCAGAGAGCAGCTTATTTGACCTACAATAGAAACCTGTGGAAAGTGGTGATAAACACACAAACAAGAGGTTACAGAAGGGTTTGGATAGCAGACACAACCGGAAAAAAATAATTTATATAACATTAAATATAAAATTAGTGACAAGCAAAGAGGCCTGAGGCAGGACTCTTTTAATTTGACACAGTTTTAAAAAACAAAAGAATAGGATAAAACACAGAGAGTTTTTAGATTTTAGATTTGGGGCCCAGTTAAATAATTATATGGAATAGTGATTCATTTTATGCAGTATACAGTACACTCTGATACGTAGTGATGATTCAAAACAAACAAACAAAAGGTATATTTGAGAGCACGTGCAACGATTAGATTACAAAATGAAATGTTAAAGGGTTCAATGGTTGTGATGCGTCCTCAGAGCTGAACTGCTCTGGTTTAGCCTCGCTACTATCACCAGTTCTTTTCCACATGCAGCAGGTTACTGCTTTCAGTAAAAAGCTCCTACACATACCTGCCGAAAGATGAAGTTAATGACTAACTGGTGAAAATAGTCAAACATTTAGAAACAGTGAGTGACTGGCTAACTAGTCAGAAAGAGCCACACAGTTGGTGTAGGCTTAAAAAAAACAACAACGAAGAAGTAAACGTTGGATTTAGATTCAACATGTGCCCAGAAACATGACTTCAAATTGTGACTGATGTTGTCCCATATCTGCTGAATGTGTGCACAAGTGCATTCAACTGTTTTAACACAATGGGGCGGCTGTGGCTCAGGTGGTGGAGGGATTGTCCTCTGATTGTAGGGTTGGCGGTTTGATCCCCCGCCCGAAGTGTCCTTGGGCAAGACACTGAACCCAAAGTTGCTCCCAATAGCAGGCAGCACCTTACGTGGCAGTTCTGTCGCCATTGGTGTATGAATGTGTGTGTGAATGAGAAACACATTTTAAAGCGCTTTGACTGGCATTAAGGTAGAAAAGCACTATTTAAGTGTTACCATTTAACTACTGTTGTATTTACAGATTATTCCACCTTGCCAAAGTGGTGAAAAATCAAGCTATGCAACTTTAAAATCGAGTAGGAAAAAAATAGGTAGAATTTTAATTTACTTAAAAAGAAGCTGCTACAGGGACAAATTAGGAAAGGTCTGGAAACTGCTGATTGGGAGGTGGAGGAAAATGCAAGACAACATTTTGGGAATTTGGCTTGTCTGGGGGGCAAAAAAGATCTGAACACTTTTGCTTCCCCTACCCAAAAAATCTAAACATTACTAAAGAGAAAAGCTGCAGAAAATCATTTACTGCAAGTCGCAACTAAGCTAAAATGCAATAAAATATTTGGATGTAACCTAAATATATTCAGGATGTGAACCACAGGGGAGTCAGCATTAAGTTTTTTGAGTTATGACAACTTCTCATGACATTGTGTTCACCAACAAACTAAAGTAAGTTACTAAGACACACACACACACACACACACACACACACACACACACACACACACACACACACACACACTTCACTTGGCTTTGACTCTGCTCATGAAGAGAAAAGATGACATTTGTGGTTTCTTTCTGTCTGAAGGTTCGGGGAGCTTTATCTGGAGGGCTGTGATGATACTGATGCCAGGCTTCTTCTCAAGCTGCTAAAGTCACAATCCAAGTCTCAACACTAGTTTGTAATAACTTGTTATATGACACCTGATTTTCCCCGGTACATATGTCCAATCTGCTCAACAGATGTCTCTGCTTGTTTCAGGTGTGGCAGAATGAAGTCAGAAGGCTGCTGTACTCACCAGAAGCTTAATGAAGTTATATTTGGCACTCATTTGTTTTTAGTTAAAATGCTCTGGTTGTGATATCTCAGTGCTGTTCTGAAGCATGTTTAAAACAAACTCTGACTGACTGTAACCTTCAACATCCCAAGATCCTCAGTGAGGCCAAGCAACATGCCTCCTGTGGGCCTCAGCTCCAAATGACTTGGCCCACAGGAGGCAGTGATGGATGTGGTTCCAAAAGTCCTGCAGCGCTTCTGGTTGCCCTTCTTCAACTATGTGCTTCAACATTCCCTCCAAGCTCAGTCAAATGGTTGTTGGAGTCACTAAAGCTGGAGAGGACCGTTTCTCAGCTGCTCTATCCACCGTGCTGCTGCAGGTCATCTTCTCTTGCTCCAACAGACACAACATGGGGCTGTCTATCCAGGAAAAGGTTGCTTTGAAGTGGTTTTGGAGCAGAGACTCAACTGCTTTGCAGCAGAGGTGCTGAACACTGTGCTGACGTTGCAGCAGGAGAGACCTGTGTACTCTTTCACAATCACACAAATCTAAACAGCAAAGAAGACTCAACTGACAGACTTTAGTGATCAGAGTCAGCCAGCAATGCTAAAAAAATAGAATAGAATAGAATAGAATAGAATTTATTTCATTTCATTGATGTATATATTGCAAGACTTCACAAAACATAGTAAACATGGTTAAATAGATAGATAGATAGATAGATAGATAGATAGATAGATAGATAGATAGATAGATAGATAGATAGATAGATCAAATCAAGTAAATATACAGTATAGTATCTACTTGACATGAATGTAACAGCATTTTTTTTAAATCGTATTTTTAAAAAGCAGCACAAATATACATCCTTTATTATGAAAGTGCATTTTAAAATGTACAGAATAATTCCTCCTGTAACACTGGCTGTTGATAGAAGACCTCCTATGATCAAACTNTAGATAGATAGATAGATAGATAGATAGATAGATAGATAGATAGATAGATAGATAGATAGATAGATAGATAGATAGATAGATAGATAGATAGATAGAATCAAGTAAATATACAGTATAGTATCTACTTGACATGAATGTAACAGCATTTTTTTTAAATCGTATTTTTAAAAAGCAGCACAAATATACACCCTTTATTATAAAAGTGCATTTAAAAATGTACAGACATTTAGCACAAATGCACAAAGGCAAGTGTTATACACATTATACATATTCCTCCTGTAACACTGGCTGTCGATAGAAGACCTCCTATGATCAAACTGTCAGCATTTTGTTTTATTCTATTTTATTTTATTTTATTTTATTTTGGCAACACAGAGGCAGTTTATATGCTCGATATCCATTATTCTATTCGTGCCAGTGTGAAGAAAACTTTAAGCATTTATATATATATATATATACCTGGAATTAACTTGAAAATAAAATTTACAGAACATATAAATCAGTTGAGCTTTTAAACTTTGACTGTGTCCGAAACCACTCCCTATGCCCTATATAGTGCACTATATAGGGCATAGGGGGTGATTTCGGACACTGCCTTTATCTCCCATAATGCACACCTGCTTCCTCATTGCGTCATCTTTGGGCGACAGAATAACTGTCCTCAAAACAAACAAACGAAAAAATCTCCCGAAACTACTCATTAAGGAAATTTGTTCGAGTGAAGTCTGTGAAACTTTTTGGGCACACCTGAACTTTGAGCGAATGTACATGTAGCTAAGCTTTTATCGATATTTTCTACTTTTTCTCTTTGTTACTTGAATCTAAATGTACTGAATGCTGTTCTTTTAAATTTCGCGCTGTTTGCTCCGCCTGTAAAGGGATTAGCAGGCTAACCTGTTAGCTAGGAAGCCATGGAAAACCAACGGCGGATGTAGCATTAAGTTGAGTAAGAGGATTATTTTCTTAATTTATGCCCTAAATTTGTGTAGACTCCTTTAAAATGGAGGTGACGGACATCGGAAACAAAGAGGAGGGTAAAGTCTGGCATCGAAAACCAACACCGGGGAAAAGGTAGGTTTAATTAAACCTAAAGGATGCTTGTTGAACATTACTTCTCCAACCTGTCTGCACCTGATGCTGCAGGCAGCGACTTGTAATGATCCGTGAACATTTCTATATCGTAAAATTACAATACATTGGATTTCTGGTATGTTACACTATAAATGTTTAAATTATGTGTAGACAGTCATCAAATTAAAGAAACCGTTTAAATGAATGAGTGAGGATGCTTCCATGCAGGAACCTGAATGGTCTGACGAGGATGAAAATGATGTGAATTTGCCAAACGTCACGTTGCACTGGGTGTTCCCAATTATTCTTGCACTGACTGTACACTTTTTGGAGCTGTTGTAGCGGTGAACTTTCCCCACTGTGGGATCAATAAAGTTGTCTTTATCTTTATCTTTACCTGAGTACCTGTGGATGATATTTGACAGCACTCTTTACTACCACTGTTGAAATGCAGAATGTGTAAAGCAAATTATGAAAAGTTGTGTTCATTTCAATGCCAAGGTGCATTTAAGCTGTTCTTAAAGTTAGTCTTTAATCATTGATTTAACCCCTGAAACTTATCTCTGTTTATCAAAGGTTGTTTATATGAAAATAATCCCTTCCTGCCTTAAACTGAGTTTGCTACTCAATGTAAACTGATTCCTAAGAAGGATGATGACACAGAAAGCTTCGATCCTCAAATCAAAAGGATCGTTTCCTCAGATTTGTTAACCCTGGCTGTCTGAATCTGTGTTTTTGAGACTGTCATTAGCACACTGTAGTAGGTGGAAATGCTCTGCTATGGCATTGACTGCTTCGGTTATTTCACTGATGATACGTCTTCCAGCATATAAAAAACATTATATTGACATGTTAACAAGGAAACTTAGTTTTCAGCCAAAGGGATCTTTGAGTCATGGGGGAATAACATCTTTCAACAAAATGCTAGAATTGGTTTTACCTTAAACTTGTCAGTGATCACCAGTATACTGAAGCTGCATAAGTAAAACTATGATTGTACTGGTGCAGCCACTGGGCAGAAGTAAAGTGGGTTTTTTATCATGAGTGAAGCTGTTGAAGAAAGATAGTATTTAATTATTCATCTACTTTTCCCAGAGTCACTTGTAACCACTAGAGATTAGCCATGATTTACGTTGGTGTGTTGCTTTTCATATTTTATCCCCAGTAATGTGTGTTATTGTCTTCCTCAGTGTATTAGTGACGGTGATCCGCACCGCTCAACAAGCCAAGACGGTGCGTTTCCTCCACGTGGCCTTTGACACCACAGGAGATTCTTTTCTTGCCGGAGATCACCATGGCAACATTTATGTTTTTGACATCAGCAGAAACAGGTGACTAAATATGGGCTATGCTCAATGTGGTCTGTTTAGAGCAGAAGAACAGAAAAAGTAAAAATACGCTCTGATTCTACCTTGTTCAGAATGGATCTCTTCATCGACAAGGACAAATTATTGTTTCTACCATAAATGGTCTTCCTTCAATGTAGAGCAGAAGATGAAGTGTTTTGCCTTTTCACGTTTATCGGATGCTGTGATTTTATTTCGATTTTTTTGTTGGGGTAGATTTCGCCTGGTGCAGAAGACAGGACAGGCTTGCACTGCTCTGGCATTTACCCTCCGCAGGACCACAGAGTTCCTTGTGGCTTTAGCTGACTACACTCTCAAATGCTTTGACAAAGGTATGATGGTCTGTTTGTTTCTCAGTGTATTGCTAACAGTATATTCGGCTACATTGTACACGAGGTCTCTGTACTTTGATGAGTTTGCATAAAGGTTGAACTAATAAATATTTCACATTTTATATTAGAATGTTCATCATTTTAAGAACAAACTAGCAGCAGTCAGCTCACTCTTTCTTTCAGGGGCAAAGCAGGAGGTGAGTTAAATGCAAAGTCAGGAAGAAGCATGTCTTGAGCTCCTGTCCCTCTCTCACCACTACATTACTCTAAATTGACTTGTTTTCTGCTTTTTTGCCATATGTTTGACTACATAGACACAAAGCAGCTGGTCAGTTGGATGCGAGGTCACGAGGGAGCAGTGTCATACATCTCTGTCCACAGCTCGGGCCGCTATGCCATCACCACGTCGTCAGACACGGCTCAGCTCTGGGACCTGGACACCTTCCAGAGGAAGAGGAAGCTCAACATCAAGCAGTCTGTTGGCATACAGAGGGTAAACACGCAGACGTACTGCTGAAGTATCTGCCAGTTTCATCAACACAAAGAGTTGTAAATTGTATTTTGGTCATTTCATTGAGCGTAATCATTCAGGATTGAGAATGTTTTGCTAGAGTGGTTTTGTCACTTAAGGTTTTAGCTTTTTGGGTCATTTTAAGCAATCAGCACTACGTATATGTACGTTAAACTTATGTTATGCACTGAAATTTTTCATCCTTTTTGTTGCTGGTATTCATATGTCACACTTTTGCTTGTGCTGCAGGTATTCTTCCTGCCTCTCAGCAACACTATTCTCAGCTGTTTTAGTGATGACTCTATCTTTGCGTGGGAGAGCGACACACTGTTCTGCAAATATCAGCTCCCTGTTCCTGACAGTGGACCCAGAATCTCCTACAAGGCCTTCGCTGTCACACGGTGGGTCTCTCACACCACAGCCACTAACAAGCTCAGTGTTCTTTGGCGTATTTCTTCATGACTGCATTTGACAACATGCCAACATTTAACACTTTAAAAAGTTAAAGTAAATAGGAAGCCGAGATCTTTAAGCAACACTTACATACATGTGTTGTGTTGACAGTGATGGTAAGAGCCTTGCAGCAGGCGGCCGCTCCAACCTGCTGCACCTGTGGTGTCTGGAGAGCAAACAGCTGGTCAGGGTAATTCAGATGCCCACGCAGGTTCGAACTGTCAGACAGCTGGAATTCTTGCCTGACAGCTTTGACGGAGGAGCCAGCCAGGTACAGAGAAAGCAATACACTTAAATCTCTCCTCATGTCTGGAGCTTTTCTTTAGTTTTTAATGGCTTGTTTGTTTTCCTATTCTAATTGCTCATTTTTCAGGTTTGCTTTGTTTTACATTTGATGCCATTTGTCTGAATGGTACATTTATGTATATTTGCCGGTTTCCTACAGTACAG